AAATAATGAGATTACAAATTAATAATATTACATTCAATTTCCCTATTCTATATCTTGAACACACAAATGCTAATATATAATTTTATAATGCATTCTAATTATTGTTTTGTAACAATTAGAAGAGCAATCCATATTTACGTGAATGTCTTCAGGCCAAATGAAAATTCCTGTAAACTTTTTTTTAGATGTTGAATATTAATTTTTTCCTTAAATAAAACCATTAAATGATGGTAAATTATAAACAACCAACAACATTTAGTACTAGTCTATTTATATTGCTGCCTCTTTCATAGTCAAAATCGTGAGCTAAGGAGCTAAAAAAGAAATCAATCAATCAATAAACATTTATTAAGCACCCAGTATTTGCCAGGTACTGTGCTAAGCACTGGTGATACAAAAAGGGGCAAAAGACAGCCCCTGCCTTCAAGGAGCTTGCAATCTAATGAGGGAAACAATATGCAAACAAATACATACAAAACAAGCTATACAGAGTGTAAATAGGAAATAAATAACAGAGGAAAGGCACTAGAATTAAGAAGCCTTCCCATAAAAGATGAAATTTTCATTGGGACTTAAAGGAAGCCCAGGGAGGTCAAGCAGAGGAGGGACAGTGTTCGAGGCATGGGAGACAAAAAAGAGAAAATGCTCAAGAGCCTCCGAGAGATGGAGCAGAAAAGCCAGGAGGCTGCATACATTTCGGAAGTAAGCTTTAAGAAGATAGGAAAAGGTAGGGGGAGCTATGTTATGTAGGACTTTGAATGCCAAACAGATGATAATGTATTTGATCCTGGAGGTGACAGAGAGCCACTGGAATTTACTGAGTAGAAATGACATGATTGGACTTGTGCTTTAAGAAAATCACTTTGGTGGCTGAATGGAGGATAGATTGGAAAGGGAAAAGAGTTGAGGCAGGCAAATTCACCAGCAAGCTATTGCAACAGTCCAGCAATGTGGTGATGAGGGCCTGCACCAGTGGTAGCAATGTCAGAGGACAGCAGGTGGTGTATTTGAGAGCTGTTGCAAAGGTGAATACTTCTTTACAGGGTGTTTCAAAAAGTCTTAACATAACTTTAATCTACTAACACTTAAGCTCTTTAAGTTTAAAACTGCACTAAGACTTTTAGAACACTGTATTATAGAACACTGAACTTTACAAAATGAAAATAAAAGGAACTCTTTGGCTCCAAATGATCTCAGTCTTGACACTCTTGTCTTTTCTTTCTCTATATGCTTTTCCTTGACAATCTCATCCTCCTCTGTTATTTCCACTGTTATTTCTACGCAGATAATTTCCAAATCTTTTACCTTCTGTCCCTATCTCTGCATTGATTTCCACCTGCCTAAAAAAATCTCCTTCTATATGCCCTGCAAAACTTCTAAGTCAACTAAAGGCAACTCAGGGGAACAGTGTATAAAGCAGTGGGCCTGGAGTCAGAACAACCTGAATTCAAGTTCAGTCTCAGATACTTACTAGGTGTGTGACCTTGGCAAGTAACTTAACCTCTGTTTGCCTCTGTTTCCTCCACTATAAAATGGGGATAATAGCACCTGTTTGTGAGAGTTATTGTGAGGATCAAATGAGATAATCACTGTAAAGTGCTGAGCACAGTGCCTGGTACATAGTAGGCATTTGATAAATGCCTATGCCCTTTCCTTCTCTTCCCTTCAAAATTTTCCTAAAATTGAACTTACCATCTTCTTTCCAAAGATTGTCCTTCTTCCCAAATTCTTTATTTCTGAAAATCCCCGTCTTTCTCCCTAGCTATAAACCTCAGTGTCATCCTTGATTCCCTCTCCATGCTGTATCCTGTCAGGTCTTCATCAAATCTGTTGCTATCTACCCTCTTCTTACTATTCAGGCCATCAAATTACTATTACCTCTTACCTAAAATATTATAATAGTTTCATGAGCTAATTTCTTATTACCTCTTACCTAAAATATTATAATGGTTTCATGAACTAATCTCCCCACTTCTCATCTTATCTCTCCCCTCTCAATTCAACCATAATGCTACTGCCACAGTAATCTTTCTGATGTATGTCATTTTTCTGTTAAAAAAAAATCTTCAATATCTTTCCCTTAACTATTGAAAAGAACAGAAAATTCCTTACTCAAATATTTAAGGCCATCCACAATCTAGCTCCAATCTACTTTTCTAGTTCTGTTTCAAATTATTCACTGTGACAATTCTGGCCACACTGAACTAAATCTCATACTGCCTCCTCCTCCCTGTGTTAATTCACAAGCCATTCCTCATGGAATAAATCAAACGTACATGATCTACATGAAGGAGGAACTCCTTAAACATCTCTGATTACTGAAAGCATTATAGTCATTTGTGTAGAGGCATTATGGCAGTAAGAGCTGTGACTTTTGAATTCAAATCCTGCTTTTGCTATTTACTCTAACCAAGGTGAATTAACTTAACCATTCAGAGCCTCTGTTTTCCTCATAGAAAAGTGCTTAACAAATACTGGTCTTAGCTCCATGAAGGCAAGTATTGTGTTGCTTTTCACCCCTGTCTTACCAGGCTGTATCATACTACTTCACATATAGAGTTCATTTGAAAAGTGTTTAATAGAATTTAACTAATTGAATAGCCTAACTTTCTAAGAAAAATGTTTGTTTAATAGAATTTAACTATTTGATTAGACCAATTATAGATGCTAATAATATCAATAATCAGGTGGCTGAAAACCTGTGAATTTCATTGAAATGTAAGAATACATTATCAGTAGATGTCTCAAAGAAAATTTCAATGACAAAAAGCAAAAGGTTCAAGATAAAATCATAAACTTCCTAGATGCTTCATTTTCAACAAGTTTACTGAATATTAGCCCTCTTAATATCAAAACAAGGTTATTAGAAAGAGGTTTGCTACAGTGGAAAGAGAGGCTAATTTGTAGGTGAAGGACCTGGGTTTAAAGTCAGACATGGCTATTTAACATCAGTGTAACCTGAAGCAAGTCAGTATTCTCAGTGATAAAATAAGAAGGTTGAAAGAGAAGACCTCTAAAATTCCTTTCAGACGCTATTAGTTCAATTATTATTTGCAGGTCTGTATTTCCCCATCATACTAGTTCGAATGATCACATCTATGTTTGAACTTACATCAGGCATCCTTAGTAGATAACTAATTGAACAGTACTTCAAGGTTTGCAAGGTGATTTATATATGATCTCATTTGATCCTCATAAAGGTTAATGTTATTATAATATGTTATATTGTTATCACATAGTATGAGGTTGTGATGTTATTATTCTCATTTTACAGATGAGAAACCTGAGGCTGAAAGAAGTTAGGAAACTTGACCAGGATCATATACCTAATAAGAATCTGAGACAGAATTTGAAATCAGGCTTTCCTGACTTCGTATCCAATGTTCTATCATTAAACTACTTAGATGTCTCCTAATAATCATAGAACAATTGTCATTATTGTTGTTTTTATTTACTCTCGGACAAGTTTCAGTAAAGATTTTTAAAAGAAGTAATTTAGTAAATAAGAGCAAATAAAAAACAAGCCTTCAGTTTGCTTCATAGGTTGCAGTTCGGTCCGCTAAAAATCTCATGCCATTTGATTAATAATAAAAACCATAAAAAAGCTTCAAAAAACATTGCCAATGATATTGCTATGGCCATGAGGAAGGACATCACTGTTTCTAAGTAAAATGCAAGCCTTCTTGTTCTTGTCGAAGTGAGAAAAGATACAGATATACCCTTATTTCATCTGAAATACATGGCAGATTTATGGTTACAAACAGAATATAAATATCCAAGTTCAGATATGAATAGAACACAAAACTTAATAACTATCATTAAACAAAACTGGCCATATAGAATGATCTGAAAGGCAACTTTCTATGTAAATATATATCTCTGATCAACCTGTGATTAATTAGCTCCCAGTGGCTTTCATCAAAGAGTTATACAGGGTAAAGGTCATGGTTTGATTACCATGTAGATCAGGTAGTTTTATTCTATTCCACAGACAAAGACTATATCACCAACACAAGGACTACTCATTTTCCATTCAAACAAATTCATTTAATTCAGCACAAAACATGTTTATTAAATGCTTACTAGGTGCAGAGCACTATAATGGACTTTAGGAAGAATACAAAGACAAGTGATATAAGAAACACAAACAAACAAGACTAAAGAATATGGTAAAGGTAAAAAGCCCTACATGGTATAATGATGGTGAAATAGAAAGAAAACTGGACAGACCAGAAGATGGCAGAATCAAAGGATATAGACAAACTCAACTATCTTTACTAAAACCTCCAAAATATTAAGAAATGTACCACATGAAGCTAACTAAATTAAAGGAGGTAAATTAAAGGAAATTCAATGAAAAGAAACACAGGAAAGGAAAAGGAAAAGACAAGAAGAGGAAAGCCATCAAGGGGCCACAGTATTTCCCCTCCATCCCAAGGCATAAAGCTAAGAGATCTTGAGATCAAGGATGCTATCACTTCCTGGCTGGTGGTCCCAACCTATACCCAAAGTTGAATGACAGATGACAGTACAGTAGCTGAAGAAGTTATTGAATCAAGTTAAATTTAGAAATAATAACAGGTGACAGGGCCTTCAGCAGCCATCAGTAGCAGAGTCACACCCTAAGTAGAAGTATAATCAAAGACCTTCAACTCCCAATAATGGAAGCTGAGAAATTAAAATTTCATGGGGATAGAAAATAACAGAGAATTTGAGGAAAAGACATTGCATAATAAAACTCCTAACACAATTGAGAAATGTTTGTGGATATAGCATGGATATAAAATGTTAGTGAAATTGTAGAAAGTCATTTTTAATTGCTACGAAAAAGAATTAAAATTGCCTTAAAATGATTATTCTACACGGGTGCCTGATATTTATAAAAACTCATTTGTGACTCCAATATTGCTACCTGATGTTAATATAGGAATTTAACAGAAACTATCCATTACTATATTATTTCTTTATATTAAAATAAACAAACTACAACACCAACATACATCAGCAAACTGTATAATAAAGTGTCTTCGTTGTCCATCTGAAAACACAGACAGGACATATTCACCAGGTTTCCCGTGACTCTCCCGAACCAAGAAGTCTCCTTGTTGCTTTAAGAGTTCCTGTGCTTCTATTCTGGGAATTGCACCATGGTACCAGTCCTGTTCTACCAATGGCTTGTCACTTGCTGATATTACATCACAGAACTTGAATAAACATTAAAGAGAGAAATAAATTAGAAGTAATAATGTTGAAGCTTTTTTTATTACAATAAGTATCAACACTTTATTTGTATTTTTATTGATAGCCTAAAACTTCCCCGATTAATATATTAAAATTTTCAGAACAAAAGTAACTGCTTTATATATTACTTTTATCTAAACAAAATACTTAGAGTTGTAAAGAATCTCAGAGGTCATCTATTCCAACCCCCTCATTTTATAGATGAGGAAACTGAGACCAAAAAAAGGTTAAGTGACTGGCACAAAGTCCTGTAGAAAGCAGTAGAGCTGAGATACAAATCTAGGTACTCTGTAAATCCTACACTCTTTCTACTATACAATGTTGCCTCCATTTTTTCAATAGACATCTTCAAAAATGGTCAATTTATGTTTTTACTAAGATAATTGTAAGAAATCCTATACTTATAAAATTCTGCTCATTAAAAGTCAAAAAGTATATGGAAGAATAATATCATTAGAACTGGTTTTGTTCAGTTGATACTACAAATTACAAAATTAGATTCCTAACTTGTAAATAGAAAAAGGAATAGCAAAGATATTCATCATAATACACACTTCATGTTTACTTGTAAATAAAGTTGTATTAATTATTTTACATAGTCAATTCAATTTATTATATTGTCTATTATCTATATATTCCAAGGTCAAGTTTTCGTGCCAACTGCAAATCCCAGGCTTTATCTATTACTGCTTTTAGAGTTATCATTCCTGTGTCTTGTCATGGATTCACCACTACTTCCATCTCTATCAAGATTTCCTCTATTGCCAACTCTGCAATTTGTTTGTTTCCATTCTTATGAAACTACTGAATAAAACCAGAAAAAAAAATCTTGTACATGAAAAACCTCAGTGGTTTATATTATGCAAAGCTTCAGAAATTGTGATCAATGCCTGGAAGACAGGACCCTAACTAAAAAAAGTTAAATGTCTCCGATCTTATAAAGATACTAAGATATTAAGATAGCCAAGGGTTGATACCACTTTCTTGATGTATCTCTAATTTCTGGTAAATGGAATCTTACATTTTCTCACACACTGTGAAAGGATTTAAAACTTTCATATAGTTAATTGAAGGAATATGTCACAGTAAACAGAGACCTAGCCTTGAAGTCAGGAAGTCCAGGATTAATCCACCTTTAACACATACTGGTTGTGTAATTCCAGGAAAGTCACTTAACAACTCTCGTTGTTCCAGGCGTAATACTAAGTTGCGAGAAAGTGCCTACCTAGATCAGTAGAGGTAATTTCCTCATTTAAGCGTTCCCTATATCACTGAAATCATGGATTGGTATCTATGCCCTATCCTTATTTACATATATTCACATATGTGAAAAGCTTTTCAGCTCCATATATACCTACATGTGACTAAACACAAATCATTTAACCTCTCAGTATCCCATAACAACTCTCAAAAGCTATTGGAGAGAATTTGTAGGTTTGCATGAGTAAATGAATTTTGACATTTTGAAGTTACTGACATAGATGAAATGGTTCAGATTGAACTTCTCATCCTTCTCCTCCACCCTCCATAACCTGACCCCTTTCCCATACACATAGCCATTTTTTTCCCAAAAAACATTCCAAGTGTGAATGAGACACCTTAGTGTAACATTTTTGGGGCCTTAGGACAGCTATATGTCTAATGCATAGAGAATAAATCTCCATCAATTATAATGTGTAATTAATATAATTATATGATTAATATACAATTAAATTATATAATATATCTAATAAGTGAAAGGTAAAGCTAATTTAAATTATCTTTGTTAATGCAAAATTGAGGCGCATCATGGAGACTTAAAAATTTTAAAAATAGGATCTCTAGGCAAAACTATGCCTAAAAGACAGCACAGTATAGTGGAAAGAGCACTGAATGAGAAAACTTGGGTTCAAGACCCTGCTTTGAAAATTATTTCAAGTTAATCTCAGGCAAGTTAATTGGCCTGTCCGAAACTCAGTTTCCTCACCTGTAAAATAGGAATAACACCTATTTCCTCATAAAATCATTTCCTCAAAAACTTCTTACTAAAATAAAATGATATAATGGAGGTGAAAATTATTTTTAAACTTTACAGTGTAGCTAAATAAACATATTATCTTTATAGTACAGGAATTTAGTTAAGCCTGCCTGCAGTCTTTGCACCACTTCTTTTTTTTTTTTAAAAATTACCTTTTTATCAATGACATGTAAAAACAATTTTAACAGTTTATTTTTAATTTTGAGTTACAAATTCCCTCCTCCCCCCCACCTTGAAGAGGCAAGACAATTTGATACAGATTATGCACTGCACCATTTCTGATACCTAAAATCAACCTCCCAAGGGATCAACATTTTCCATTTGAAATGAAAAGTGCAACAAAACTTATATTCAGCTATTACAGCAATATTCAATATAGTATATTATAGAAAATGCACTTGAAACCACACTATAAGTTTATAAAATCTTTGGTTCCCCACCTCTGCACAAAATGTTTTAAGTATAGAAATATAGCTCAGAGTTTCCACAAAGTTCTTCTGACATAATATTTATCTATTTGGCCTTTAATAAGGGTATCAAAAAAGTTATAAATCTAGTCACTGGTAGACTTAAACTAATGGTTTGAGCCATTTCTACCACATGGAAAAGGCACATGGTTTTTAAAAAGCCTAAGAACTATGTCCAATAAGGCCCCCACAGGAAACCTTAGTTTTGTGCTATCTACCCTTTAAATAATATTTACTGAGCATATATACGGCTAGATATTGAGAAGTCTTGTCATTTTAACAGGAAAAAAATACTAGAACACTACTAATTATTCATTCATAATTCCTTTTAATTAGATTTATATCTCTAAACATTAAAGGATTCAACTGAGCCTTTAATATCCTTCTCTAACTTGATTTTGTAGTTCATTATATATTATAAGATTCTTTCAAGTGAAACAAATTACCCATCTGAACTTCACTAATTTTCCTTTAAAAATGATGAAGAATTTTAAGACTTTTATTGTTAATGAACAAAAAGAAACTGCTAATTACTTTAATTACCTTCTTTTAAATGAATGATATTTCTATATTTTTTCATTTAAACCAAATTCTTCAATTTGAAAAATAATGATAAACAATATTAAATGCAAATCCAACTCAAGGTTTTTTGCAAACACTTATATATAATTTTAATGAATAAAATGTAACTGGTCAATCATTCCTTCTTTCTACATCATGCTAACTTGTACATTTATTCCCATTTACTTTTCCTGTTACATTGTATTAATTAATGTTTACTCTGTCCTCTTGGTTGTCCTTTAATGCCTCAGTTTGTTAATATATTCAAGTACATTTTAAAATGGAAAATTGGTTATAAAAGTCTTTCTATTCTAATATAAACTTTGATAAACACATTATTTTTTAAAATGTATCCAAAGAATATGTTTTTAAGGAACAACCAACTGCTGAGAAAAGGATGGAACACTGAAAAGTTTTACAAATCGGAATACAATAAATATATTAATAACTGAATAACTTGTAAGTGATATAAAGTTCAGAATTCTAAAGGGGTGGGTTTTCCAAAATGATTAAATGTTACTTTTCCCTCAAGTTTTAATTATGTCAGATCCCATTAAAAATAATATTTTTTTATAAAGGTAACTAAAATGAAAAGATTCTAAGCTCAGCCAATGATTCATTACAATAGATTTTGGAAGAATCTGGTCAATAAAAATTACTAAAACAATTCAGTGTAACTTTCTCCCTTTCTTTGGCAAATGAATGCAATGTGGTGCAGTGGAAAGAGCACTGGACTTGGAGTCAGAAGTTATGAGTTTGATTTCTGATTCTTCTACATACTACTTGTGGCAACACTAGGCAAGGCACTTAACCTCTCTTGGCCTCAGTTTCCTTACCTGTAAAATGAGGGGGCTGGTCTACATGACCTCTAAGGTCCCTTCCAGCTCTAAATCTATGTTCCTATGAAAAATGTCATAAAAAAAGAAATCAACATAAGCAGTAATGTCCTAGGCTCAGACATTTATTTGCCTTTGCCTTTCTAATCATATTCTAGTATGGGTATGGAGTAGTATGGCATAATGGAAAGAACACAGGTTTTCTCTCAGAGTACCTGTGTTCAAAGTCTCATTCTGCTACTTACTATCTCTGTAACATTAGGCATGTCACCTCATCTAAATCCTTATCTTTAAAATGTAAGGGCAGCGGTGGTAAATCTAGATGATCTCTAAGATCTGTTCTTTCTCTAAAACCTATGATCCTTAGCCTGCAGAGAAGATAGTATAAGGAATTCTAAACAGCAGCTAGACACACTGAATGAGCGAGCTGACTATGATACCTGGTAGTGATTTGACACCTAACAGCAATTTCAGAGTTTGCTTAAATTGTTGCTTCTTTAATCAGGGCTGTTATAAAATTTTCTTCTAAGACAAGGATCTTCCTACCTTATTTTAAGAGGAGCAAGGACAAATTGTAATATATTCAAAAAAAGATGGCCAGGATGTTAAGAGGTCCTAAATGATGGTTAATGGCTAAAGGAAATTGGGCTGTTCCACAGGAGAAGGAAAGATTTAGAGGGAATTCCACTGCTATACTCAAATATTTCAAGTGCTTCTACCTGAAAAAGAAATGAAACTTATTCTCTCTCCCTCTAAAGGGCAGAAGTAGGACAACTAGGTCAAAGGATCATAGATTTAGAGCAGGAAGGGATCTAAGGGCATCTACTCCAACACCCTCATTTTACAGATGAGGAAAATGAGGTCTAGAGAGGCCAAACAACTTGTCCAAGGTCACACAGATAGTAAGCCTGAGCCCAGAGTCGTTAACCAAGGTCTTCTGAATCCATATTCAGGGTTCTTTCCATTGAACTATATGGTAGAACAACAACAGATTTAAACTTCTGGTATGGAAGGATTTTCTCCCAGAACTACTCAAAAACAAAATTAATGAGTTTTCCACCATAGGGAGTATTCCTAAACTAGGAAGGAAGTTTGATTAGATGACCTCTAAATTCACTTCCAACTCTAAGATTCTTGCTTGTTATATATAGCAAATAAATTTTACTTCTATCACTTTGGGAACATATACTCACTTGTTTCGCTAATTAGTTTTTGCTGGGAAGGAAGACTAAGTGGCCATCATCCCAATAAATTAGCCTCTTTCCTCGCTAAAGCTAAAGGCACAAAGGTGTTGTGCATCCTGGGCTGAAGTTTATGTGGATTTACACAAAGGAGAGGGGTTCTATCTTCATCCCTGACCAACTCAAATTTGCTTCTCTATGACCATCCTGGAAAGAGAATTTTTGGCAATATTCACTTCAATAGAATCCTATATATTTTGAGGTTGGTTATAATAGCATTTAGCATGTATAAAAAAATATTATTCAGCATCCTTAGTCCTAAGGGCTCTTAGAATGTCCACAAAGTGCCCAAATGTTTATTATCACATACATAAGTTGGAAAATTATTTTGGGCAAAGTAGCTGACACTTTGCTAATGTCATAGAAAAAAATTTCATGTTTATACTTTAAAAAAAGTTTTTCTCTTCTAGTAGTCTGGTCTTCTGAATGGTCATTTTCTTACTAAGGCTAATTGTCACAAGACAAGGCAGTATAAAGCAGGCAACTAAAGAGTCTGGTTCACACCAGAGAATATATGGGAAGTACAACTGAAGAGCAACCAACTTTCTATTTGGGGGATAGGCTGGGTAGCCAATGCAAGGAGCAAAAGAAGTGTGATAAAGAGGTACATTATCTATTCTAAAAAATTCTGATGAATCACCAAAAATGTAATAAAGAAATCAGTCTTTATCACAGTTTAATAGAAAAGGTAAGTACTCTTTTAAAGTTAAACATTTTGAAAATAAGGATTCAAATTTTATAGAATATGGAAAAGAATTCAAGTAAAATTCCCTGTGTAATTCTACCAAAGAATCAAATTTCAAAGCTTACTTAAATAATCATTATTTTTCATTTCTTTATTTAGATCTAACATTGGATCAACTATTTCTTGGCATGTCATGAAATTCTAAAATAGAAAAAAAATCACTTTACTTTTAAAAATTAATGTCACATAGAATTCTTAGGAAGGACTTGGAAGGACTGGGTAATCAGATATAAAATGGTGCTGGAACTCTAGGAATGTGAAGGTTGAGGAATAGGAATGTGACTCATGAAGCCAAAATTATATTTAAGGAAAAGAAAACAAATCAATTTAGAAAGGTGATAATATTGCAAAACCAAATTTAATAATTATATGTGTAAGTTATGAAACTAAAATATCAAATAAGTTATGAAACTCTGAGTAGCAATATTCTCCCCTAAAATATGAAAAATAAGAATATGGACCTAAAATTTTTAAATGATCCAATTTTAGACACAGTAAAAATTAGAAAATATAGGCAAACTGTATAGCTATCAGAATCCTTCTAAACAAAATGTCCTTGAATAGGGACAACAATTAGAAAATAATTAAAAGATCTATTTATATTCCTATTGTCAACTAGCTCTGTTTTCTTAATTAGTGCTTATCAGGTAGTTCACTAGTATGAGAAATTAATATTTCCTATATGAGTATAGGAAATGAAAGTGGAAGTCTTTAAGTTAAAAAATTATTATGTGCGACAAATATTAATTGAACTTTTATTTATCTGTCGCCAAATGCTCCTGCTTGTTGCAGTCATTACCTTCTCTTTTAGTCTTTATTCATAATATAAACACTATTTACTCTATGTTAGGAAGCAAAATTCAAATACAATAAAATATTCTAATCTGGGGAATCTTCTTATAAACTTAAAAAAAAGGCAAGATGAAACATGACTAGGTTAAAAACATAAATTACCTTACATTAGGCAACTTCACATTTCTTTGGTTGCCTGTCCTGCAGTATTCTTGTGTGATGAGACACTCTCTAGAGAAATATATTTTCTTTACCTTTCATTTCTTGTCTAATACTTCTGCTGCCAGCACATCTTCTGTTTTCCTGTGTCTTCTCTTTTTTCTGACTTCTTTTCTTCCCTTATTCATCTATCTTTGTTCCTTAATTCTTAGCATTTTTCCTCCACTTTCTTTTCTGATTCCCATGTTATTATTTCAACTACACTTGCCACACCTGTCTTTTCTTTCTCTTCTTTACTCTCCTACCATTGTAGTATCTCTTCTTCTATATCTACCTTTCTTCTCATATACAACATATCTCTCCTCTTAAACATTTTTTGCTACCCTATAACAACAAAGTCTAAAAATGTGGCAAAATAAATGTTAAAATTTACCACTTTGGGGAAAGAAATCACTTATAATTCAATTAATTGCACCCAAGTCTATTTCTTACAATACTCTTGAACTACAATGAGTCAGTATAGCATTCTTTCTCGGCAGGAGAAATTTGGGATTTCCTAACCAGAGCATTATCAATCTGAAGAGATCTCTGTCACTTATTTTTAAGATCCAGCCAGGATAAGAAAAAGACAAATCTGCTCCCTCAAAATGAGATATATCTTGTTAGCCATCCTTTGTTTATCATGATAAACTTGAATATCGGTTATATCACTAATAAAATAAAACTTGCTTCTGACAGTGTAAAAACTAGGTCAACTTTTTCTAAGGATGGTTACACAAGAAAATATTGGATATGGCAGTGATTCATATGACACAAGAAACTTAACTTTTTATCCTCCCTTGTTTCTTATTCTTTGGATCTTAGAGCCTAGGCAAAAAGTGTAAATAAAGACCTTAAGAATAATAAAAGATAGCTAACATTTTAAAAAAATACATAATAGTTAACCTGGGCTTAATAACATGCCTTTTTAGAGGAAGTACAAGGTTTCTCTGCTACTTTCGATGGAGCGCACTAAAAAATACAAGAGGTTTCTTATGTTATGCAAAATAATAACTCCATTTCCCTATACTAAGTGTGGAAACTAAATACTATAATACTGCAAATATTATATGCAAAATATCAATATATAATATAAACAAATGTCCAAATTGCCATTCATAAAAATAGACAAAAAATATCTTAAGAGATTACTATGCTTCATAGCAGAAAAACATACTTTTCTTTTCTCTACATTTTTATATTAAATTGTGAAGCAATAAAAACCTAAGGTGAATAACATTCATGTCAATCAAGTGTAAAATGAATAAAAGTATTAATTATAATATATTATCTCATTGGTTGTCTAAGTACTTTTCTAGTGTCTAAAGTGCATATGTCAGTTTTGTCAAAAACATAAGCTCATTAAAGCATTCTTCAAACAGCACTCCCAACTCAGCATTTAGAATATACCTCATAAACCAAGGGCCAATTGGCATTATGAGGCAAATCACTTCACCTTTCTGGGTCTCAATTTCCTCATCTGTAAAAAGATGGAGTAGGAGTTCTACATAAAATGTAACAAGTAAGCCAATCAATAATTTATTACCAAAAAATCACTGTAAACAACAAAATGTCTATTTAAATAATGCGAGAGTGTATTATGTCACATATTTGGAAACAGATTTTATTAAATACAGTGTGATTTTAATGCAATCTGCTTGAAATAAACTCTAAATGCTGTCTTCAGAGGATGCTTATTAACTGGTTTCTGCTTTAACCTCAAAGGAGTGCTCTTTGAAAAATTAGGTTTGTGGGGCCTTGTCTAGGTTTCCTGAGGCCTAGTAATTGAATCATAGTATTTTGGCACACTTGGTACTTCTTAAAAAGATGTCTGTACAACATATAACCATTTATAAAGGACCAACCTATCACAAAAATAAGTGTTAACTGTTCATAGACAAATATAATTTATAATTTATTTAACCTTAAATTCTTTAATCTCTCGCTATGAAATTAATCTAAGTATTAAGTTTCACAATGCTTTTAAAGTCAGGTTCGGATTCTAGTTCCACTGGTGGACAGATGAATTTAGATCCTGAGGAAATTACCCAGATAATTCAGGGGCACAAAATATTCATAAAAACATTTTTACTTGAAAATATATCTAAATTTTCCACCCCATTTTGATAGTTCAATGCAAGTTTCTTTATAGACTGTGAAAATCTGCCTTGCAAACTTTTTAAATTCTATCTACCCTTTTTATTAATGTAGCAAAAGGCTTCTTGCAAAACATGCTCACCATTTTTACTGATTAAGCTCTTATTTATATATAGGCAAATTAGGGTAATCATCTTTCAGAATCTCGTGAAGATGATAAATGTCTTAAAAAACCCTTCCAGAAAAATCTTCTTATAAAACGTGTGCCCATCTTTTTTTGATGTTCCTCTACCTCTTTTTTATCAATAACTGTAAATTATTGATGATGTGCTTTGCATGGAAAACAACACAAAAAGAAAATTTCATAATTTTCTTTGAGTCTTGAGGGGTAGATTAGTCCTAATTTAAACTAATTAGTAAGTGGTAAAATCTCAATAGAAAATATTTAGTAAGAGTGTCTTTCATAGCTTACTCATGGGATATCTTAATAGTGAATAAAATCATTAAAAGTATAAGTCATCTGACTCTTTTTTCTATTCTGGTATAATCTCCCAGAGAATTTTTTCAATCAAATATATGTAGCAAGATCTATAAGGCTCATAAATACTCATATTTTCTTTTGTTTCATAAGACTGGAATTTATCTTAAGGAAATATTACAAAATAAGGGAATTTTGCAGTATTTTTCCACTGAATGGACATCAGTATTATGTCCATACAAAAAGCTTCAGCTTAAACTTTTCTTATATTATTCTATTCCTCCTATTATTTCTTTCTTTCAAATCTGAAAATGATTTATCAGTGTTTAAATCAAATGATTTCTAATCCATGATCCCATCACACTACACTATTTTCAAAGAAATGACACATGGGCACTGCTAAAATTATTTTAGGTTCTTCATTTTACTTGCTTTAAGTTTTCTCCAAAAATTTTACTTGACTTAAAGTTTCGCCTTAATACGTGTGTGTGTGTGTGTGTGAGAGAGAGAGAGAGAGAGAGAGAAAGAAAAGAGAGAGAGAAAAGGGGGGAAGGAAACACAGAGAGGGAGAGAGAGATTGGGAGAGAGAGGGAGGGAAAAAAGAGAGACTCCAGGTTGTTGTAGTAATGAAAAATGTTTAAATTTATGCAACCAATTGTCAGAAAAAGGTCATCTTATTTTCTTTAAAAAAATTTTATTTTATAAGATCTTATATACCTTTTTTACATAGCTCTCAAATGATTTAGAATACCTTTTTGTATATTATTCTTAAGCAGAAAAAAGTTTACAAATAATCTAAGCAACTTTATAAATGCTAATCTTTATTATTTAACAAATTGGTATTAAAATGATAGACTTTTGGGGGAGGGGATATTGTGGTAAGATGAATGAAGTCATTATGCCTAACACCACTAAAAATGCAGACTTAAATCAAAATTACATGGCTTTAGTTAATAATACTAATAATTATAATAATGATAGTCATAATAAAGACAACTATGACAGCTAACATTTATACAGTGTTTTACTTTTTTTTTTCTTTTTTTAGGCAATTGGGGTTAAGTGACTTGCCCAGGGTCACACAGCTAGTAGGTGTCAAGTGTTTGGTCTGAGGCCGCATTTGAACTCAGGTCTTCCTGACTTCACAGCCGATGCTCTATCTACTGCACCACCTAGCTGCCCCTATACAGTGTTTTATGGTTTACAAGGCAAGTTCTACAGATAATCTCATTTGATCAGTCAGAAAACCTCTGACACCAGACTGAAGTAGTGTATTTATAAGCACATAAGTAGGGCTTCTCTAGGTATACTTAATTCTTAAGAGAAATATTTCAATTCACTAGTTGATTGTGTCATAAGCTTACAAGGAACACACATAGCCTCTATTATTTTACTTCAGAAGCTCACTAAATGTATCAGTGAATTGAAAACCTTTGGGCATTTAAATGATCTAAGAACAGAGGGTCTTCATCTGCTAGAGGGATATCACTTGTTAAAATTCTCAGATGCATAAGAACTCTTTTCTTTTTAAGAAATACGTTTTATGCCTAATAGAGACTTTGAGGACTTAAAATAAAAATGGGAAACTTACTAGAGGGAAATGGATATTTTAGTAGTATGTATGATTTTTGAAGAATGCAATTCAATCAAATTAAGGTAAAGGCAATTCCTAAAAACTGAATTTTGCTTAAACGATTGTCAATGTATATGCTAAAGATTACTTTAAGAAACATGGTTGGGGTGAAATGTTAAGAGATTAAAAAGTTATGTTTTTATAACATTAACTCACTGACACTGCAAATAAAAGGCATGATATATACTACATAAGAATGTAACTCAGTATATTATTGACATAATGAACACTTTGATTTTCCCGTTTGTCCTTCAACTCCCTCTCAGCTACCCTCCTTTGGACTTCATCACATCCCCAAGAACCTCATGATCCTGCAAGATTGAAATCAGACATGATACTCACACCTACTTAGTATCCTCTTCCCCTGGGACACCTCTGATTGGAAGATTGAGCCAAGAACACCTCTCAAAATTTCTGTTTAAGGAGGGCCCCCAGGTCAGCCATCCCTTCACATTTCCCACTGGCTGCATACTTGTAGATTTCTCCATGGTGCCACAGATGCCTGGTATCTTTTTCAGTTTCCTTTTCAATGTTGTGTTCCCCCATTAGATAGCAAGCTCCTTGAGGACTGGGACTGTCTCTTTTTCATATTAGTATCCCCAGCATGTAGAACAGTGCCTGGCACACAGTAGGTACTTAATAAATGTTCACTGACTAACTGCCCACTACTGTATACACTACTACCTAGTGGAGCAATGAGAAAAAGCTCACTCTTTCTACCACTTTTTTGTTCCTGTATGGAATTCGAATTATTGACCTGGTTCTATCACATTAGGTCCTGAGTTAGTTTCAAAAGCCTATATCAGCTTCAAAACATCTGTTTTTACTTCAAAGAAATGTGACTTACTAAAGTCTCAGGAAAAGGTATTGGGCACATGTAACCTCCAATAACCTCTGGCCATAGGAAAATTGCAAAAGTAGGAATTAGCTCCATTTTCTCAAAGAGGAATTTTGTTTTCTCCTACCCTTGTACACTTTTAAGGGCATTCATTCCCTTAGAAGGCTGAAATAAAAACTCAGATTCATATCTCTGGGTTTGAATTTATCAACAATGTTGACTATTTTAGGTTTAGGTGAGTAAATTAGGCATTGTAAGAAGGACTATTCATAAAGCAAAATAATAGGCATTTTTCCTATTACCCTAATATAAACTGCTACTAGCCCCTGACACAGGTTTTCAACCCATGAAGTGAAGTAGAAAGTGAGTTAATGTTATGAAAAAACATCAAGACTTTTTATTAGTTAATTTTCACATTAAAATATTGAGGGAGAGGGTTTTTTATATTTCACTATTTCTTCTTTTGCATTTTTATCATTACTTCTTTGAATCCCAAAGACTATTTATATTGTATCTTGAACAAAATAATTTTTCCTTTCCCAAAAAATCATTTATAAGTGTATGATTTATTTCATATTTACAAAAAGTTCTCAAATTCTTGAATCAGCTTTCCGTACTCCTGGCTTTGGAAAATCAAATCATTGTAAAACTAAGTTACAAATGGACTCTTACTAATTGCTAAGTCCAAAAGGATCTATGGCTTCATAGTGAAATTGCTATTCTGAAAAGCAAGAAAAGGATATGAATTTTGGTAGACATTTCCTGAAGAATAATTTTTGCAAGAATGTCTGTGTGATATATGGAATACAATGCTGGTCTTGAAGTAAGAATGGCATAGGTTCAAATTTCTGACTCCCAGCTATGTGAACTCAGGCAAGCATTTACCTCTCAAAGTCCCAAGACAACTCCCTAGAAATGTAGTAACAAATGAGTTGTCATTTGCAATGGGAAAGCAGGATTTCCATACTTCCAGGAAGAAATCAGTGGGAGGACTCCTGTCCCATTCCTAGTAATTGTTTTTGTTTGAAAGTAACTGTTTTTCCCCCCAATGCCATGCAAGATAGCTACCATTCAGTTCACCCCTACCTTTTAGTTCCCACAAAAATGATTCCTTTTATTGGAATACTACTAGCAATAAAAGCTAAAATACATTGAAGAATTTTTTTCTTTTTCCTTTTAACTAGTAGCCATCTGAACCAATTATTTTACTAAATTAAACATCAAACAAAAAAACTCATATGTATCATTTACATTTCTTAAATGGTTCTCAAATAATTTGAAACAGTACTTTTAAAAATTATGTTGCAACAGGAAAAAATAAAAATAAAGTAAGCAACAGTACATAATTCAAGGTTTGGTAATCTTTTCAGTGGGGTTTTGTCATTCTTTGATATGACAGGATTTATCTGATACATGCAGCAAAAAACTACTCAGTTGCTTCTCTGGGACAGATACTACTATATACATGGAGTGAATTCAAAAGGTAGTTGTGCTATTAGTCTAGAAAGCTAGGAAGCAGTCTAATTTCTGATTTTTATAAATATGATCTTATTTCCCTAAAATGCAAACTTTTTAATATATGTATATATGACCCCTAATCGTATATGTGCATACTAACATATACTTATAATGCTCTTTAATAGTCAGAAAATTACAGAAATACAACCAAAAGTTTTTTCAAAAGAATAGTAATTAATTTGTGTTGTACACTGTATGCATATTTGATCAACAACCCAAAAGAAACCATATTAAAGCTTCATTGTGGATAGTTGAAATGAGTAATTGGTTTCTTAGAATTAGAAAATAAACAAAAAATAGTTTAAAAAAATATGGCATGGGATAAGAACATTCCCTAATTCCCTTAGTCAATGAACGATTGCAAATAAGGCAACTTGTTTCGGACACCTTTCTGCTAGCTATATTTATATGATAAATTTATATATCAATAAAGCATCATGTACTTTTGTAACTGAAACAACATTAAAAACTGCTAATACATAGGTAGATGAATACTTTGTCAAGTAATAATTCCCATTGTAAAGTGATTTAACATGTAACAAAATTGATCCTACTATTGGTCAAATTAGGCCCTTATATACCTTTCAAGCAAAGAGTCTCTCTTTGGGTATAGTTTACAAATTACATATTTTCAATCAAATTCTCCCCTGATGACTGAGGTATAACAAAATGGAAAATCATATCCTACTTCTAGAATAAAAGGAAGATTTACAAAAGCACAGAATAATTAATCCTACTTACGGATGAAGAGCCCAACATAGATTTGGGAGATCGAATCATTCCAGCAATGGAGTGACGAAGTGACTCGAATTTAGATAACTTCTCCTTCCTCTCCTAATTTGGAAGAAGAAAAAAAGTTGTCAGTACAGATAAATCTTCATAAGAATATTGTTATAAGATCCTTAAATTCTAAGTTAGGAAAAGAAAAGTCCATGATGATAGACATTAAATTCCCCAAATATTCAAAACCAAGATTTTTCCAAACTAATTTTCACTTTGGGGATTGAAATTATTAACTGAAGTAATTAATTTGAGGGCTAAGGGTTAGGGGAAGGGAGATCTTGTGGTTGTATGGAATACCCTTAGGATAATGGAAGCAATGAGTAGAAGTTACAAAGAAGCAAATTTAGGCTTGGTGCCTAAATGAAAAGACAGAAAGAAAAAGGAAAGGAAGACTAGTAATGGAACATAAAAGTAATAGGATTTGTCCCATGTTTAAATGTCCCTAGTCCAGCAGATCTTTACAAGGAGGACAAAAATAAAGTAAACCAATGATATTACATAAAACCAAACAGCTGCAAAGATGTTGGGCCCTCTTTTTCAATTCTTTATTCTGACAATATTTTAAGAGAAATGAAGAAACTACTTCAAAAGAAATGGAAAACTAAGGAGGTTATGTCTCATAAAAGGAATCTAAGAATACAGTGCTTTCTTTCTAACTTTTCAAGAATAATTTGTGTAATGTTAGTTCTAATTGTCTTTGTGAGTGTGACGGAATACTCTTGTGAATCTATCAGGACCCACAGCTCTGTTCTTTGGCAATTCCTATATAGCTGGCTGTACTTCTTTTTCTGAAAAAGGATTATAAAAAAGCACTATGTGATCTTCTGTTAATTTAGATGTTTTATAACTTGAAGACTTTCTGAAGGAGGGGTAGTAGGAGAATTTTGGTAATGTAAAAAAAACAATAAAGTTTTACTTTAAAAGAAAGAAATGAAGAATTTGTTCCCCTATTGCACAATCCCACATATCTTATTGTCCATTATTATGCTCTCTAGAAATCAAATCACCTGAGGTATTAGTGATACCCTAAATGGATAATGTGATCTTTCTGTTGTTGAGTGACTTTCAAAGTTTTCTATTTATTTAAATGTTAAGAATATTCCATAAGTAAGGAAAGGAAATAAATTAAACTGAAAACAGTAATCAAAATATTAAAAATAATCCAAGTTCAAAGACCCCAGGTTAAGAACCTCTGATTTAGAAAAAGTATGTTATTATAAACAGAGTAGTAGTGTTAGACCAAATTTCAAATCTCACCTCTTACTAGCTGGTAATGCTAAAAAAAGTTACTTAATGACTACGTGCCTCACTCAACTTCCAAGAGCTACCAAGGGTTGAAAGAGATGTGTTTACTTTGGTGGAAGGGGTTCTCAATGGAGAAAAAAAATCACATAACCTCTATTTGCATAAATTTCAGGATGCCAAAAAACATACATATTTTAAGATGATGCGATTGTTAAAGGCTGTTAAGGGGTCCCTTGAACTTGTCTTTTTGAGTCGCCAATTTTCCAGAAACACTGGACCCATAGCATGTGGGAGGCCCTGAATGTGTCGAGGACAAAAGTTCCCTACCACCACTTGGAGCTGACATAGTTTGCTGTTTGCACCCCATGCTGAATTCCTTGTGTGTCCTTGAGAAGCAAGACAGGCACCAGCCAGTCTGTGCCAGGCTGGAAAAATGCTTGTGCAGGTGGGGTCCTCAGATAAGAGAATCCTCCCATCTTCATTGTCATAGTCATAGTCTTTTCCCAAAGGAAAAGAATACAGCCTTTGCCACCACCTTTCTCCTCCCCTTCAGGAAGGTTTTTGTCCTTTCTCCTACCTTTGCTGCACCTTTCCCCTCCCATGCCACGCCCCTTCCTGTTTTTTCCTCCTTCTGTTGTATAGTCACAAATATGCAAACTTCTGTAAGGACTCTGAACTGTTTGGATTCCACATGCATGTTCATTTCTCCTGTGATAAACCTGGTTTTCACATAAGTCTCACAACATGATTGCCTGCTGACAAGATTTTAGCATTGGAACAGACTTTCAGAGATCATGTAGATCCAATTCCCTCATTTTACATGTGAAGAATATTTATAAATAAAATGTTTGTGTGTGTGTATGAGTGTGTATATGTGTATCTCAGAGCAAACTATCCAAGATGGTGAAGTAGAAGAAAACCTCAGATCATGTTGTAAATGGAAATCTTAATTTGCCTGGCAAATGACCAGGGCAACGATCCCAGAATCACTGTGAACCAGAACGGGGCTGACTGCAAGGGGAAGACTGAACAATTAGCCCTCAGGCACAGAGACCTCAGTGCTGTCACTAATCCAGGAGATCAGAATCTCAGAACCAGATCACTAGAGGAAAGAAAGAACATGCCACACTCCCTCTAATTCAGGGGAGTATATTTTTGAACTAGACTTCAGGGCCAGAACATTGCAATAGGGCTACAGCTGTAACCCACCAGGATACCAAATAAGACCAAAACGGGAAGGTGAAAGGGAAAGGTGGAAGCAGAAGGGAAGGAAATAAGCATTTAAATAGTGCCTACTATGTGCCTGGCACTATGCTAAGCACTTCATAATTATTATCTCATTTGATCCTTACAATCCTGCAAGGTAGGTATAGTTATTATCCTCATTTGACAGTGAGGAAACTGAGGCAGAAAGAGGTTAAGTGACTTGCCCATGATGATACTGCTAGTAGGTGTCTGAAGCCAGATTTGAACTCAGTTCTTCCTGACTCCAGACCCAGTACTCTATCCACTATACCACCTATCTTCTTTAATTATAATCAATTCTCATCATTCGAAATAGTTATGGTTCTATAAAGTCACCATGAATGCTGAATTTGTGAATACTTAACCATTGCTCCTAAGGGAAATAGGGGATTAGAGTCCTACAAGCCTCTGGTCACAACATTTTCATCAATCAATAACACAAAAATTTGTTTCATGTATGTTTCTGTTTAAAGAAACCTTTCTGTCAGTACTTAATATCTGTGGTTGTTGTTCTTGAAGCAACATGGAGAAATTCTCAATGCTGTAAGTAAGTTCACTTACCCTGGCAATATACTTTCCAGTGATGTACACATAGATGTTGAGGCTGACGCACACATTGCGAGAGCTAGCTCAGTGTTTGGGAAGCTCTGAAGGAAAGCGTGGGAGAGAAGAGGTATTAGGCTGCCTACCAAATTGAAGACCTACAGAGCCACTGGGCTGACCTCATTGTTGTATGCCTGTGAAACCTGGACAGTATGGCAGCAACATGCTAGGACTGCTTCCATCTGAATTGTCTTAGGAGGATTTTGAAGATCATCTGGCAAGATAAGGCACCAGATACTGAGGTCTTTTCTCAAGCTGAACTGCCAACAATTCAAACTCTATTGCAGACAGCACAATTCCATTCCGATGGGCCGGCCATGTTGTTTGAATGCAAAACATAAGTTTGCCTCAAAGACTATTTTATGGAGAACTCGCACAAGGTAACATCACATGGAAGTCAGAAGAAACAGTACAAGGACATTTTCAAGATCTCTCTGAAGAACTCTGGAATCAATTGTGAAACATGGGAGACACTGGCACAGGACCACCCAGCATGGTATGCCTGCACTGAAGAAAGCGCTGTGCTCTTTGAGCAAAGCAGAATTGCATTAGCTCAAAAGTAACATAGGATGCACAAATTGAGATATCTCCTCTCCAAATGTTCATATTTGTATCTGAGCTGTGGTCGAGTCTTCCAACCTCTTACTGGTCTGATCAGCCACTTGGACACACTGCACCTTGACCCTGATATAGTGATGTCATTTTGGTCCTATTCGAGCATGTAGGAAAACAACCAACTCCACTGTACTGTTATTGTACTACCTTAACTCTCTAATTCAGTAATACACAGTCCATAGTTAATATGAAAAAGTAGGTTTTTCACACTGGTGAAACTGGCTTGTTTTATAAGGACATTGGCAAATAAATCTATATAATGCAAATAGCCTCTAAAGCTTCTGGCTTCAAATCATTCCAAAATCACGACACCTTGCTATTGTGCACCAATGCCACTGGTCATGTGCTACTGTGTAACTCTCAGTTACTTAGTAGCTATGTTTTCGGTTCTTCCACAGCCTCCTGATCTGCAGAACCTGCCTCACTGTAAGTTTAACAGTTTTCATGCCACACAGCTTGTGAGCCAGCCAGTACTAGTCTCTGCTAGTTTGACATTGTCCTGACACTGGGTAATGGGACAGTAAATTTCTTTGGCTTTCAGCCTCACAACAATTCTGTCCACTCTGCTTTTTTAATAATAATCATCTCATGCATCTGACAATTTAGCCATTTTTCCATCTTTCCCATAGCTTCCTCATATACCATAGAAGTTACTTTAGCACTTTCCAAAGTGGCGTCATATACAGGTCAATGAATTTCTTCTTCCTTTTTCTGGACGTATCCCATTGTTGAGTCATTAACACCAAACTCATCACCAATAGCCCTATAACTCATGCCTGAACGAAACTTATCCAATACACATAATTTCTCCATAAGGCATATGATAGCCTTCATGCACTTAGAAACACTAGACAGCATTTCAGCACTATACTCAGGGCACATTTTAAACTGGGAAATTACAACAAAAAGCCCCAAAATACCAAATACTCGGAACTAAATAGACAGGAAAATGGACACTTGTTTGGAGTATGAGAGCTGAAACAATTAGGCAGAGCATCACTTTATCTGACCTCAAGAATTGTGCCTGTCTATGGATAACCGCAAAAGCACAGCAAGTACTAATTTTCAGGTTACAAATAAATTTTAGCAAGTTCACAAATATGGAATGTACAAATAATGAGAATCAACTATATTATGTAAGGTCCAAAGAATCCAGCTAGAAGTGTTCAGAACCTTGCCCAGCTGTATGATGGTACTAGCTTGAACTTGCTTGTGAGAGTCAATTGTTAAATTTTCAATGTGAGCATTTACACTTTGGAAATCTGTAAACTCTCCAAATCAGGTTATGATTTATTGTTTTATTCCTTGTCTAGACTTAACAAAGTGAAGTGGAAAATGGGAGA